GGCACAAAAATCTAAATTTCAAACATTTCTGGCACACTTCTGGAGTAGCTATTATTATCAGACAGAATGCCCCCTTTAGTTCATCAACATATATGTTAAATATGGAAGATCCAGGATGATAAAGTTATTTTTTTTATATTAGCCTTATATCATCCATTACTCTTTGAAAATACCATGATCTGTCTTTACATTTTGTGTTAATGGCCATTTTCTAAGAGCATTTTCGATTGGTTCCTCAAATGGAGGATATTCTGGAACCTTTTACATCTTTTGTTTGACAGACATCTGTAATTTGATCTTTGTTAGGTGTCATTTTAGCTGTTGTCTACATGGAGCTCCACATCGTACAAGCTGTACAGTACACTACCTACCTAGTTGTGATACATATATTAGCTGTGACCAGTTCAACCAAGAATTTTGTTTTTGAGGTTTTCACAATTCACAATTATACACAATTTTTATATGTTGTTTTTTTCTACTTTCCTACCTTGTTAGTCATCTTGCAAAATCTCAACCCCCAGTTTTGGAACTACTGCTATATAAATGTATCTATATTTTAAGTGTTTTATGTTTTGTCAATTAAAGGACAAACATCAAAAATTATAAAATAATGAATGGATGCTCCACCCCACTGGAAATTAAAATAGTCACAATTTCATCTATAAATTTGGAAAGACCTACTAGATTATCTGAAACAGGCTTTCCAGTTCCACCTTAAAGGTAGCATTGGCAGCTAGGTCTGTAAACATACATAAAGCAGGTAATAGAGTGAAAGCTAAAAAAGACTAAGCCCTGGGGATGTTGTCCAGTTCATTACTCTTATCGGTGAAGGTGACTAGTTTGATCAGATACATTTATGTGTTTAAGGGGCTGCTCACCCAGGAAAGGAGCGAGAGAGAAAGGCTTTATTCTTTTCAACGGGAGGGCACATTCAGTCACGCTTTGTCAGCTTGTCTGGGGCCACAGCTACTGAATGTCACAGGTGTTCTACTTTTAATTTACCTTTAAACACATTTCTCCGCTCTTCCCCTCTCAGTGATGCAGCTCATGTTTGGCCAGCAACATCACCTAAAAGTAAGACAAATTGGGTTTTGTTCCTGTTTTTCTTTTGTTATCATCATGACTGTGTGATCATTTCCCTTCTGGTTTGTCAACTTTTAGTTCCATTCACACGAGTTGGAACCATTGATAACAAAAAACTTGAGAGATTGTCAGGATAACAATAACTTGATTTCTCCATTAGTTTCCATTGCAGATGTGTATATATAACACTGTGCTCCTCAGAGGTTTTTGGATGTACTCTGTTTTGGATGCTCTTTTGGAAACAGGAAATGGAGCCGTGCCATGACGGCACCAAGCCCAGAATGAGTACAGTTCAGTGGTTCCAACCTTTCCTGCTCACAACACCAAAAGTGAACTAATTCCTTTACTTACAAAGCTGAAGGCATGGATGTGCAGATCCATGATAGCAAAAGATTTATTTACCCATTTCGGCCTGGGTTACTTCAGGCAAATTTGGAAGATGATGACTCCAGATGGCCTCAACAAATAACTTTTTTTAATAACTTTTTATATCCTACATGATCGTGTATACCAATCTGAGATGATGATCTGAGTGAGATGAAAAAACAAAAGTTTGTGAGTCCTATTTTTCTCTGGATTAACTTTGACAAAGTTGTCCATTTGACAGTTTTGATTTTGCTCTGATCAAAGCCAACTGGCTGAATCTACCACATCTCTGTTGCAGTCCCGCTTGTTGCAGCCAGGTTTATTTCTGTGTTTCAAAAAATCTTGCACAGAGAAGCTTTAATTAATGATTAGAAAGAGAATAAAGGCGGCAATTACAGTGCTCACACTTCCTCTGCCCTCTTCATCTCACTTAGTTGCAAGCTAATGAGGACAAATTTCAAGCAGCACAGACTGTACTTACACTGGTAGTAAAAAGTATATTCTATATGCTTGAAGTACTGAGAACATGAAAACAAGACTGCAGTCTTATAAGAAATAAGAATTAACACTTCTTTGTTACTAATCTCTACACGTGAAACACACAAAATAATAATAATTCTGCCAGAAATAGGACTAAACATGTCCCAGCTGTCATGTTCAGGATACTTACACTCAGCATACAGTAAGAGCTTATTCCTGTTATTATACACAGGATATGGCAGTAACATTAAATTAATTGGAATTTTAATGTGCATATATAGTTCATGCACTCTGTCACTGCTCCAGTTGCTGAACCTGTGCTTTAAAATAATGAAACTCTGAGCTGAGAGTCTTCTAATCTCTGTGGGAGGTGCTGGAATACACCAATGAAATACCTGCTGTCATCTGCTCTCTTTCCTCTTGCATGCAGATCAGATTTCAACTCCTAGCCTCACCCTACATTAATAGCCCAAGAGATGGCTACGTTATTTACTGTGTAATTAGTGTGCGTAATCACATATAACTCAATAATAGCAGAAGATGAACAGGTGAAATATATGATATTTGTTCCTAAAGGTTAATTTGACCCCTTGGAAGATATATAATTAATGTTGGTAGCTATAGTGCCGAAATGATCAGTCGATAAATTCATTTGAAAGAGAATTGACAATAATTTAAATACCCAAATAATTGTTTCAGGCCAATTTTCTCAGTCAGCTTCTAAATGTTAAATGTAATGGGATACATGACAGCATGATTATTTCACAGGAACATTTTCTGTATTCATGTTTTGTCCTTGCTTTTCTCACTGGTTTGAAGTGGGTGGGGCTCTGTTTCCAAAAGAAGAGGTCACCTTATTTCAGCAGAAACTAAAATTGGAGGACAGTTGTGGGTTATGTAACACTGGCCATGTTTCCATCAATGTATTTCCATGCGCATTTTGAAGTACTGCATTTGAAAAGTTTAATGGAAACGGAAAAATCTGAAAAAAGGTTATGCTCGTTTTTATGTTCACTTGAATTTTTATTTTTTTCCTTTTTTGGAAAAAATTGTTTAATGCACTGAATGGGGCATGGAAACACTGTTTTGAAATACATTGTAACGTAGCAAACATTTAATTCACATGATCAGCTGTTTCCACTTCTTCAGTATGCTCATCACTACCATGGTTTTATATTTCATCCATGATCGCTCCACACAGATGTAACCTTCCCCCCATTAATGCCTGAAACTAAGAGAAATGTCATATTTCCACCCTGTTTTCTGCATTGTTTTTCACTGTTAACAGCCTTCTTTAATTGCATCATCTTGTTGTGCCCTCTTCTTCTGGTTTTCCGACTGAAGAATTGGCACCACCTACTGCTTATCTCATGAACCAACTCCTAAAAAAAAAAAGGTAATTGATGGAAATAAGCATTCATTCGCATTTTTTTGGCCAAGTTGATTAAAATTTGCATTTGGATGGAAACACGTGTTGTCAATCAAACCACATCCACACAGTCCTGATGAAGCAGATCAGTTTACATGTTTAGTCTTAAATGTTTAATAAATAATAACTAAGACAGTTATACATTGAGAAATACTTAATATTAAAAACATGTATTAGGGCCTTTAAAGTCATTTATCAAGCAAACATGTGTAAATTATGCAGGTACCAGCTCTTCGATGCAAGGATTATCTTCTTTTATCTGCTTTTTATCATTGATTATCTTTTGGGTTTGGGCTGACAACACAGGAGATTGGGGTCTGAGATTTTTTGATGGGCATTTATTTAATGTATTCTGATAGTGTTTTAGAGTGAACACAACATTAATCAATTGTTAAATTAATAATGAAAAAGAAACATTCCTAGATTGGGATTGTGACACTCAGAATGTAATTGTAGAAGAAAAAAGTGGGACATTTTGAAAGCTCCAACTTTTAACCGTTAGCTTTTGCTTCAATAGTGTGACATGATCAATGCTGAGTGCCCAAGGCACTGCCACGCGTTGGTCAAATCTAAAACAGGAGGTGCATAGTTTGAAAAGAGACCCTTGCGTACTGCAACCAGACCTAATAACTCAGGAAAAGGCACAGACACATTCAAAAAGTGATCTTCTTTCTCTATATATCTGTTGTTGTCTGTCCTATCACCCACTAGTTCCTCACATCATTTCCTAAAATATCTTGTTTGTTCATCAGTGAGCAGCTGGATTACAAAATAGATTGATCAATACATTTTTTTTAACAAAATAATGGTCATGACTTGTTTGGCACATTCAACACATAGTAATTTTGACAAAAAAAAGCATCTTCAAAAGATTTAAAATCATATCAGGTACAACAGATCTTCATAAGGAGCCACTTTGACCCCTGAAATGGGGTTTGCCCAGACACAGTGTGGTTATTGACTTGTGTACAAATTTTACATGTCAGTTGAGTTTTGATCAAAACTTGTCCTCTTGTTTTCATGCTTGTCCACTGAAGCAAACACAATGTTCAGAAGCAGTGAAAAACAGTGTCACTGTGGTAACCAGGGACATTTGGTGTTCTAGCTTCATGGGCCAATTCAGCTCCAAAGAACTAACCCATTTATGTTTGTGAAGTTTTCCGTGGCTACTGAGAATGTCTATCCATGGTGGTAGTTGAGTGCAAAGCCAGTGTGTAGCTCCACCAACTTGTGTTACAATACAATGTGCAAAAAGGATGTTCAGCATGGTAGCAACCAGTTTTGACAACATTGTAGCAACAATCATTACAATTGTTGGATTTCATCATGGGGGCAATGATCGTTTAGTAGTTTTGAGTACACCGCAGGAGCAGTCACTATGCAGACAGTATGAGTTCATTGCCAGTGAGTTCAGCTTTCCCTCAATTTTCTCTCAATCCTCAATCCTCTTCTGTGCACCTTCATGTGCATCCGTTTAATCACAGCATCCTGCCTCATCTCACCTTAGCAATCATTGCACAAATTTGGGGAAATAACCAGTCTGGCAGCGCGGTGGCCTTGTGCCACAGTTTAAGCAACTCTGGGTGTTTTCCCTTATGATTGTCTCTGTTGGTCTCTGCAGCATTGTTGATGACTTACAACTTTACACATCAGTATCTGGCTTCTCCACCAGTTTCAGAGCCTCGTGCATGCCAGCTGCTGACAGCTTCCGATTGATGTTCCGGTAGCGGCACCGCAGGAGGTTACTGTAGGTGGTCCTCAGATCACGGTTGAAAAATGCATAAATGAAGGGATTAATGAGGGAGTTGGCGTACCCGAGCCACAACAGAGTTCTCTCCAGCCAGAGCGGCACACAGCTGCACTCTACCCCGCAGACAAAAGGCCTGGCAGTGGACACCAAGAAGAACGGCAGCCAGCAGAAGGTGAAGGCGCCGACCACGATGCCCAGAGTGGCCGCAGCCTTTTGCTCCCGTTTGAAGATTGACTGATTTTTCCTCTTCCGCCGTTGGTGGTGTTCACCGGTCTTGAGGAGACGAGAGACTCGTGTGCTGCACTCCTCCTCCACCTCACGCTGGAGCTTCAACGCAGCTGCCACGCAGTCCAAGCTCTCGTCCTCTTCTTCAGCTTCCTCCTCCTCAGCCATTGTCCCTTCAACGCCTCCTGTTTCTCCTAATACTGCTGGCCGGTGAGCCTCATGCCCTCCTCTTCCCCCTCGGGGAGCCACCACTGCACTGTGCTCCCCTTCTCTGGGAAAACCAGTGATGGTGTGCTTGGCAGCACTGAGTTTGGCCGCTCGGTAGATCCTGTAGTACATGATCAACATCACTGACATGGGGATGTAGAACGCCACAGCTGTAGAGTACACGGTATAGCCGAAGTCCTGACTGATGAGGCAGACTCTGCCGTCGTTGACATTCTGCGCCCAGCCGAACAGAGGGGGGAGGGTGATGGAGGCTGATAGGAGCCACACTGACAGGATCATCTTGGCCATGCAGCAGCCGTTTTGTCGCACAGGATACGTCAGGGGTTTTGTGATACCCAAATACCTACAGAGAAAAACATGTTGAAAGATCTCAGAAACAAGCAGACAAAATTCATCTAAAATATTTCTCATCTTTCTAGTAGTACAAAACCAGTGGTTACCAAGTTAAAGGGCTGTTCAGCAGGATAGCTGTTGTACATGTAGTTTAAGATCTCATCAACAGGCAGACAAAATTAACCTAATTCTTTTTCATCTTTTTTTTTTCCTCCTTATCCTTCCCTGAGTAAATGATGCTCTCCCACCCTCAACAAGGTGCCCTTGAGCAAGGTGCTTAACAACAATCTGTGGCTGCCATATGCAGCCCCCAGGAGGGAAACTGGGGATTTTTATGAAAGAGGAGCTCCAAGATGCTGAGAAAGACCATATGTGAGCAGCCAACATTTCAGTGTTAAATAAAGCTCAGGATTACAGTGTATCTGGGCAGTTTGACCACAGAGCACACTTACACTATTAACACATTTATGGTCACACTCAAAAACCTCACTGGAAAAATACTGTTTAAAAAATACATTTACATACTATAGCAGAGAAATGTTTTCATAATCTCAATAAACAAATGAAACTAGATTTGAACAAAAAGGTAGAAATCAATAAAAATAATTTTTAAATTCAATTTTTGAGTGATTTACAGTACATTCCTTCAGAATGCTTTCAACTTCCACTCTGACCCTTTCATTCGATTCAATTAATTTTCTTCAATAAGAAATAAATATGTTACAAGTCGAAAGGTCAGAGGAGTGAACCCCACATAAGCCACTTTGTCTCACCAATTTTGTCAAGTGCCCTTGAGCGAGACCCTGAACCACAGTGAGCCTCCGCGCTCTGACCTCCCTCACACAAATCCAGTGTGGCGGAGGACTGAGTGACAAAATACCTTATCAGATTGCGTAATGGGATTTTTTGTAAGAATGTGGTGTGTGGGAAGAAGTGGAATTAAAGAATACGATTTTGCCAGATTTTGTCTACATGTGGAGAGAGAAAGCTGCGATGCGTAAAAGTGTAATAAATCAATGAAAATAAAAAAGTACTAATATCCCCATTCAACGTTTTACATCTGCCGTAGTGTCTAAATAATGATCAAATTGCTTCATATAATATAATTTTTTGACATATTTTTTAACTGCATTTAGGGTGCAAGAAATGTTTAATTTGTTGAAAGCATAACATAAGTTTAACTCACCTGTCGATGCTGATTACGCACAGACTCATGATGGACGCGGTGCAGCACATCACATCCATGGCGATAAAAACGTTACAGAAGAACTGTCCGAATATCCACTGACCACCAATCAGGTCCGTGATACTGACGAACGGCATCACAGCCAGGGCCACTGACAGGTCCGCCATGGCCAGAGAAACGATCAGATAGTTGGACGGCTGGCGCAGCTTCTTGACGAAGCACACGGAGATGACCACCAGTAAGTTCCCGCAGATGGTGGACAGCGTGAGCATGGTGAGGACCCCGCCGATCAGGACTTTTTCCACCCGGCCGTAGCTCAGGATCTGCTCGCCGCACCGGGTCCCGTTCGTCTCCATGACCTGCAGCTGACTGGAAGTGGACGGAGAAGTCGCTGCTGCCGCTGCTGCAGCTTCTGCGGCGCCCTGCGCAATCATCAGCAGCCGGGGCGCAAGAGCCTCCGAGATCATCATGTTGGTGGAGCCCCCGGGATCTTCACCACCGACTCTATCCTCTATCATGAACGACGACCTCATGTTGCCACTACCAAAGGTTCCGTTACTTGCTCCCACAACAACCATTCTGCTGCCTTCTGTTCCTTTTTATCCATGGACTTGGAGACCCGTCCGGTGGTGACATAGACGCGCACAGATGTGCCGTTCTTGGTGTGCGAAATGAGTAATTCCTTTGCACACCCCCCTCAGGCTAGACTACCCTGACATACTCTCTTTGCATTCATAAAGCCTCGACGCCTAAATTCCTCTGTTTAGAGGCATACTCGTCATTACGCACGTGGCGCGCCGCAGGCATATTCCCAAAATACCTGACCTATAAAATTCAATATTATTTCCTGTTGTCTGTGGCCACCCTGGCTACAATCCCACTTTTCAGTCTGATGTGCAGAGAGACTGAAACTTAAAGTCCGCATTGCGCGCATATTCATATCCCCAAAGTTGACGTGTGACGTCAAAATATATGTTGGATAGCCTATAGGCTGCAGAATAATAGAGTATCTAAACACTTACAAAATCTCCTGGGCCTTTTTGGAGTTCATTCTGGCGAGAATGTCTTGGCAAGGACAAACTGTGTCCATGGAGGACCGTGCGTAATTGCGCAGAATAAAGAAGCGTTGTCTGTCGATTTCAAATGTATTTTGGTGTCGCCTGTGTTTTTAAGCGTTTCTCCCTCCACGCACACACGCCCGAGCGCGCGCGCGCGCGCACACACACACACATTTACACACAGGAGAGAGAGAGAGAGCCAAAGGGGGAGATTAGACAGAATGTGAATGGATGATAAATGATGGTGTGAAACAGTGGGCCGTCGCCGAGCATTTACGAACATTTTCCACTATTATATAAATAATCCATCCAAGAAAAACTGAGGAACATTGTGTAATAGTTTTGGATAATAGCAGTACAGTCTTAGTTTTAATGATTTGTTCCAGGGTTAACTTGGTCATTACATTTTTAAGGGAAAAGTCACGGGATGGTTAAATGATTTTTGTTGTCATGAGTTTAATTTTAAACGTCGGTTGGTCCATATGTAACCAAGGTGAGGGAAGTGAAGTGCTGATCTCCCACAATTCCACCTTGAATGATTTTGCTATTTACAGTTCAAGCGAAAGCATTAAATTATGAGTGTTCGGACAAGATGTGCAATCTACCTTCATCTCACTTCATAAACGTATGAGATTTATGTTGCTGTAGATGAGAGTAGGAACCCAAACTGCTCCCGAAACCTTTTCATCATTTTCTAATCGGAGCCCAATTATTGTATGATAACCCCCTACGTGGGTATGATACTAATGCCGCTAGTAGCCTTGGATAGTAGCGCCCCCACGCGGCCATAAGCCTATACTGCATGTTGTTGCTGATGTAGTTCAGTGCGGGGACGCTCTTTTTCTCAATATGAGATTATGTGCGTTTTTAAACCTGAAAGAAATTGTATAGTGTTATGTGTTTGCATTTCTCTTGCAAGGCATATACATGACAAGATTCACCCATAGAATTATATTTTGAAAATGACTAATTGAAGTACTGCAGTTCTCAGACTAGGGTCTCGGGCCCTGGCAAATAGTATGATTCTATTTCGCTCAAATTGAATCCACTGGAAGTTGTTTCTCAAAGGCAACATAACATCATAAGCTTCACTTTATGAGTTATTTCCAGCCTTGTGTACCTTTACAATGAAGCAACGTCTACTTGTCACAGTTTATAGAATAATTTTCTTCCTCGATTCTGTGAAGGAGATAAAACTGTCCAGTATTTTAAAAGTAAAGAAATCAAAAGTTATAGTCTTTATTTATTTTCGGACCCCCGGTGAGACTTGTGTTCTTTAATAGTAATTATATTATGCAATATAATGAGCATAGAATCTTATTGCAATAGGTCTGAGGCCATACAAGTCATGTAAATGGGAGTCTGTGCCAGGAAAGCATTTGAGAAACCCTGTTTTACAAAAGTGAAAGTATTTAAATAACATTCAATGGTAATTTTACCAGGTGATATTGTTGCTATTACACTACAAAGTCAAATTTAATCAGGGTACATACACAAGAGAGCTGCAAAAAATAGCCTACTACGCAAACAAGACTCTTTAAACAGGTCAGACTGCTTGAGAGGACGCCTACCTTCAGAAGTCTATTTTAACCTGTAGCAGCAGCACAGTTAGACAGTGTAAACCACCACTAAAGGCTACAGATTGACACCAACAGCACCTGATCTGAGCTCATGTTAGCATGTGTACTCAGTGAATCCTAAGCTATGGAAATTGTTAACTGAGCATTTCACCACTTCTGGTTACCTCGTCTTGAATTGTTTGGGTTATTTTGAATGGGTTTTTGGTTTGAGAGATTTTCATGTTTTGTTCTACAACATAAAATACATCCCTAAATACCCTACTTGTCAATTTTGAAGCTTTTACATGTCTTAAAAAAGGTGATTGCTAACAAGCGGCTAAGAGAGACTACAGAGGATGTCCGTGACATTGGACGTTGATTTTAATTAAGATTTATTTACAAGTTGGAAGTTTAGTGGTGGTGACGTTGAAGTCATGTGGCTGTGGTGTAGCTAGTTTGTTTATAGCACAACGTTAGATTGTTACTTCTGGCAATTGCATTTAAAAATCACTTCAAAAATCCTAAAAGTGGTGTTCATATAGATAGATAATCTCGCTGAACAAAACGTGTCGTAAGTATCATAAACCTTCCACAGAGCTTATTATCTGCAAAAATGTAAAATCCAATGGAAAAACTCTATTGGCTTTTTGTCATAAGAACCAGGGTGATCCTAACTTCTTTTCTTGGTTGGCCTAGAAAAATATCTCTGCAGCACTCTATACAGCATACAGTAATATTTTAGACAGGAAATGAGGGGAAGAACTTTATTGGCCTGCATAGAGCCCTGACTTCAACCCCATCCAGCACCTTTGGGGTTAACTGGCATGACGTCTGCAACCAGTCCTTATCGCCCAACATCAGTGCCCTGACCTCATCGACTCTCTTGTTTCCAAAATCTGGTTGGAGGCCTTTCCAAAATAGTGCTGGCTGTTCTTGCAGCAGAATAATGCCTTTAGTTTATGACTGTCTTGTTCTAATCAGATATGGATGTAATGTATAAGTATATCAATCTATAAAGAATTAGCAGATTGTAAAGTGGATCAGGGACAGAAAAAGCTGCTGAAACGTAGATGCACCAGCCACATCCCTGATGAGTGTACTCTGAAGAAGGCATGCTGGGACTGCAGTGGAATACATCTTCAGCTTCCCCATCGCCGTGTGGAGCGAGACCCTAGCACCAGGTGACAGGACGAGCTCAGTCTGAAACCTTTGTTTTACTACGAGAGAAATCAGGCTTGCAGACAGGGTTTACAAAAGAAAGAAGCAGACACATAAGCACCACATTTCAAAGACAAATCACCAAATATAGGCCACTATAAAAACACATCTGATAGGAAAATATAATCTGAGAGAATCTAAGAGCAGACAGGGCATTAACCACTCACATTATAACACAAAAATGTATGAATGGGTCTCTTTTTGTGTTGGCACATGGCCATTTTGTACTCTAGGAGAGTATAAATCTTATATTTATCTGGAGTACTAAAAAGCTTTGATGTCTTATAAGAATCAAATTTTTTTTTTCATAATAAGTCATGATTAAGCAACTGTATGTCTGAGTAAAAAGCTGCCAATCATCTTCATCACTCTCATGCTTAGGAGACTTCAGTTTATTGTTCTCCTCTTGTGCTTCACCTGCTGTGATTTAATATAATGACATTTTAATACCTGTTTTTCCCCTACCATCTGTGATTGATTTTATTATCCTACCTTCTTTGTGTTGCCTTATTATTTTATTGTCCCATTCCATGATCTTGATAGGAACAGGCGGGTCAAGCCAATGAATATATGAATAAATGAATACGTAAATGACTGAGTATCAATAATGTCCCCTCTTGCGCAAGAAATTGTTTACCAAGCACATTAAACTGTATTTATGAAGGTCATGTTTTTTTCCTCTGGTATTAGTCTTTTGTTATGAAAATTTGACTAACTCTCTGGCAAACACTTTAGATGCATTAAGCAACAGTAAAACACATTTTAGGATAAAGTTATGACTTATTCATGTTCTCCAAGTTGTTGGTAATTTGATACTTTCAGTGAAGTACTTGCTGTTCTGATTGTTATACTGTAGGGACAGTACCTGCACAGACTACAGTATATGCTTTTACTTATTTTTACTAGGGATGCCAGTGTTATATCATTATGTAGGTCCAATACTTTAGCAAATATCTTGGAAATGTTTGAATAGATTGCAATAATATTAGGCTACAGACGTTCATGGTCCCCAGTGGATATCCTACTGAACTTAAATATCACCTGTCCTTTCATCTCCTGCTCCAATCAGGTAAGACTGTCCACTTGTCTAACACCTCAGTTGATCACAGTATACATTCCTGGATAAAATAACATGTGACAAACTAACATCCTATTTGTTACGTGCTAGAAATTAGCATCCAAAAAGCAAAATTCAGGCTAAATAAAGGTTTAGCTCAATTTCAGCATGTTAAAACCTGTTTGTGCTTATTAGTCATGGAGGTAAGACATTGATATTACATTAGATTAGATAGAT